ACCCAGCTCTGCCTGGAGCTGTCGATGGGGAAGGCTAATAGCTGTACCATTTCTGGGAAGTTGCCATCAAGGCTGCTGTCACCAAGAATGGCCTAACCTGACAAGATATTGCAAACCACAGCTGGGTGGTGTCACCAGGGCTCTGGCCTGAGGGCATGTCACAAAGCCACCCACAAACGGCTTCGTGAGTTCCAGGTGAGCATATTTAGGAAATGTGTAGTTTCAGAACTTGTTTAAATGGGTTATTGTGATTTTCTTAAAAGATGAGAAGAGTCTGGGGGCAGTGGCTCACGCCTGTAATCCCAGCACTTTAGGAGGCCGAAGTAGGTGGATCTCCTGAGGTCAGGAGTTCGAGACCAGCCTGGCCAACACGGTGAAACCCTGTCTCTACTAAAAATACAAAAATTAGCCAGGCATGCTAACATGTGCCTGCAATCCCAGCTACTTAGGAGGCTGAGGCAGGAGAATTGCTTGAACCCGGGAGCCGAAGGTTGCAGTGAGCCGAGATCGAGCCACTGCACTCCAGCCTGGGTGACAGAGCGAGACTCCATCTCAGAACAAACAAAAAAGATGAGAAGAACAAGAACGATGGCAGCTTGGCCTGACACGAGACTTCTGCAGCGTTCTCTGTGTGTTGTGTCTACTAATCACTGGAGCATCGCACTAACTGGGCGATGGGTACTATGGTTCTTGTGTTACAGATGAGGAAACTGGAGCACGGAGAGAAAATTTAAAATTAAAATAAAAAGCAAAAACAAGCCTCCTCCAAAAAAAAAAAAACCAAAACCAACACACCAACCCCAAGTACCAAAAGGGAGTGAGGAGCAACAATATTTGGCTTCCTGTGGGTTATGTTTTAGGGGTGACTGTTCAAGCGCCCGTCGATGCTCTGGGACCACCAGGGGTGGGCGTGAGTCCTAAACACATGGCGCCCACAGCCCGAGGGGTCGTGGGACCTGAGGAAACAGTAGTGTTGCTGAGGTCCACTGCCGTTTTCTGAGCTCCTATCGGGCACCGTGCAGTGGGCTAGGGGCTTCCTCATAGAGGGAGTCTTCATTTAATTACACAACAGCCCCCCAGGGATATCTGAGGAAACAGGATCAGAGAAGAAAGTGGCTCCGAGGCTAAAGAGGGGCGTCGCGCTGAAGACCCACCTCTGAATGAACTTCTTCACCACTTCCATCCCCGCGTTGAGCTCGTTCAAGGCAAGGATGTACTCCTGAGTAAACAGCCTCAGTCGCGGGCACTTCCCAAAGTCCTGCAGAGAGAGCACAGGACAGGAGTCAGGGGATGGTGCCAGGCAGGGCAGGAGCCCAGGGCAGCCACGACACCGGAAGGAAGGGCAGGACCCAGCTCTGCCTGGAGCTGTCGATGGGGAAGGCAATGGGGAAACGCCAACCCTCTCGAAAGGACAGGTGGCGTCTACTTCAAAGAACGGCACCATGACACCTGCACTTCCGCTCTGAAGGACCATCTGATGAGCAGGTGCTTTCGGCTGTAGAGAAAGCCACCCTCAAAACGCACGTGCGGGACAAATGAGATGAGAAAGAGAAAAGAGAGCCAGAAAGGCTGGGGGGACAAGAGAGGGTGCTTCTGACGGGAACGTGGAGTGTGGAAGGAGGTGTGTGAGACGTGGGTGTGAAAGGAGGTAAGTGTGAGGTGGGTGTGGAAGGAGGTGTGAGGTGGGTGTGGAAGGATGAGAGCATGAGGTGGGTGTGGAAGGAGGAGAGAGGTGGGTGTGGAAGGTGAGTGTGAGGTGGGTGTGGAAGGAGGTGAGAGAGGTGGGTGTGGAAGGAGGTGAGTGTGACGGGGTGTGGAGGTGAGTGTGAGGTGGATGTGGAAGGAGGTGAGTGTGATATGTGGGTGCAGAGGTGTGATAGGTGGGTGTGGAGGTATGAGGTGGATGTGGAAGGAGGTGAGAGAGGTGTGTGTGGAGGTGTGAGGTGGATGTGGAAGGAGGAGAGTGTGAGAGCTGGGTGTGGAGGTGTGAGGTGGATGTGGAAGGAGGTGAGTGTGAGAGGTGGGTGTGGAAGGTGAGAGGTGAGTGTGGAAGGAGGTGAGAGAGGTGGGTGTAGAAGGAGAGTGAGAGAGGTGGGTGTGGAAGTGAGCGTGAGGTGAGTGTGGAAGGAGGTGAGAGAGGTGGGTGTAGAAGGAGGAGAGTGAGAGAGGTGGGTGTGGAAGTGAGTGTGAGGTGAGTGTGGAAGGAGGTGAGAGAGGTGGGTGTAGAAGGAGAAGAGTGTGAGAGGTGGGTGTGGAAGTGAGTGTGAGGTGGGTGTGGAAGTATGAGGTGGGTGTGGAAGGAGGTGAGAGAGGTGGGTGTAGGAGGAGGAGAGTGTGAGAGGTGGGTGTGGAAGTGTGAGGTGGGTGTGGAAGTGTGAGGTGGGTGTGGAAGGTGAGAGGTGGGTGTGGAAGGAGGAGAGTGTGAAGTGGGTGTGGAAGTGTGAGGTGGGTGTGGAAGGCAGTGAGTGAGAGAGGTGGGTGTGAATGGATGTGTGTGTGTGAGAGGCTGGTGTAGACAGAGGCATGCACGTGCAATGAGGAGCCTAGGCGCGTGTGCATGCACCAGGCATTAGTGGCAGGAGAGGCACTGGCATGTGTCACTATCATGAGGGGACAGGGCGACGGCCCTGGTGGGAGGCCCCATCTGTGCCACACTAGGGAAAGCAGTGCCTGCGCGTCTCCATCCACCAGCCCCCCGGAACTAAAGGGTTCACTGTGGCGCTCTGTTGAGGGGCCAGGTCAAGGACACAGGGACCCTGCCCGTGCCGGCCGAGGGCCATAACTGGTGGCTGCTGTGCTCGGCCTCTTTCAGGTGTCAGGAAGACAGGGGCCACGCCACAGCGAGCTCTGCCAGGAGGCAGGAAGGCGGCACCCAGCCCAGTGGCGGGCTTGGGGCTTGCCAGGAGCAGAGGAGAGAGGCATGGGCTGGACAGGGGCCTGTGAATCCGGCTGCCACATTCATTTCCAGAGTTGTGGCTAGGGCTGGTGAGGTGCTGGGACTGCCAGCCCCTTGGGCTGTGTCCGGCCAGTCAGGAGCGGCACGGCCCTGCCCAGACCCTCCATAAAAGTGATGTGGCTGACCAGCAAGACACTGAGGGGAGCCTGGAGTCTCCAGACCTGTCCCTCTGTACCCATCTCAGTGGAACCTGTTTTTTAAAGAGAGCAGCCTGAATCAGGACTCTAAGCTGTAGAAAAGAAGTAGAGACCCCTTCAGGTCTAACTGACCCCGAAGCTGGCATGAAAGCTCTGAGTGGAACCCGTTCCTACCATGCCCTCCCGCGAGCTCCCAGGAGAGTTTCTAGAGCCACTGGAGGCTTCTTCACGTGGAGTCAAAGGGGCTGAACTGGGTCTTTAAGAGACAGTGGAGAGAGAGCTTTCACTCACCTGCCTGCTAGGACTGTCCTGCTACATAAAGAGGGAAGCAGAGTCCCGGAGCCAGTTCATCTGCCTCACAAGTATTTCATCTGGCTTTGGGCTGCCACGCCCGTCTCTGGGCCTCACGGTCCCCACTGTGGAATGAGGGTCCACAGAAGCGATCTCTAGCCCCTTCCACCATTAGGGTTTTATGATTCTATGAACTGCTTCAACAGAGACTTAGGTAACTGTCATCTTAGCTACTGGATTTTTGAATAATCAAGGTCATTTCCATGGAAATAAACATTTACAGAGGGATCCAGCAGCCTCTGAAAAATATAATCCCCTTGGAAAACTGGAGGTCAGATTACCTGGTGGTCCACTGGGGACCACAGCCATGTCTTCTTGCCTCCTTTGCCACAAGAGCACGCCGAGTGGCATGGGGGCACAGAGACACATGGCCGTTCTTCACAACGCAGTTTGGTGCATTATTTGGATTGAATCTCCAGAGGAACATACTAAAGAACTGCTTCCTTTTGTTTCTACTTATCTCGGTCTAGCAAGGAACGTTCTTAGAGACTCTCAAAGCTTCAGTTTACTCATCCATGAAATGGGGCACATAACATATTTGCAAGAGATACACTCGGAATGGGGAAGCCCCCAAATCCCACAATAGCACTGTGGCTATGTTCCCCCCGTTTCCTAAATGTCTGAGAGCCTCCTTAAGGAAAAACACTGTATTTGGGGTGAAGAGACGTCACTGTTCATGCTACCCCAACAGGCTCATGGCTTATGCTCCTTAGCCAGAGACTTGATCCCCACACCAGCTGAGAGCGCCAGCTCCAGAACGGTGCTGCTGACCCACGGCCACTCATTAAGCATCAGGGAGCATTCAATGAGTGAATGTCAAAGCTCCATCTCGCCCACCGCCTGTGTTGTCAGGATTCCACGAGATCAGGTCTTCCCGTGCCTGGCATGGCCATAATCACTGTTTAATACAGTCTGTTCTTCTACACGAGGGGCGGATCCTCCTCGGTCCTCCCTGCAGTTCTCCTCTGACGCCACCGCTCGTGGTGTGTAATTAGTAGGCGCCAAGAACAAGGTGGGATCTGGGTGCGTTAAAGCATCCCCAGACACCTGGGATCACTTAGGGGGTACTCGTTACAAATGAGGCGAGGACTCATGGCTGAGGGTCCCTACTCTCTGCCAGACCGCCACAGATACTATAAATTCTGGGTCTGCCGAGAGTTGTTCTGATTTTTATAGAGAAAATTATTACATGGTCAACACTCCAGGCCCATAAAACTAACCAAATACAAGAGAGGCGTTGTATGGTGAAGCCCTGAGAGGCTGTCTGAATTCTGAATTTTTTCCCTTTGAAGTCAGATGTCCCCAAAGAACCCTTATGAAATGGCTTATTGACTAACATGGAATATGCAAAAATGTTTATGTGCCTCAAGAGGCATTCCCCTGCCAAGTATGTCCTGGGGTTATGACTCTGCCATTGACAAGTTAAGGTCCTTTGCAAGAAAACCTGAAGAACCTTTGCTCTGAACTCCAACATGGCACGGCCCTCCCCATACACTACACCCGCAGTGATTTTAAAGTTAACGAGTAGGGCCCCTTTCCTCCCAGGTGGCCAAAGCCAGAAAGATCTCCCCCTTGAAACTATGAGCACCCAAATTAAGGCAGAAACCCCTTCCTATCCCCCAGTGGGAAGTCTCCTTGTCCTGGAGAAAGAACTGCACAGGGTGTCCCTCTCCCCTGTGTTCTGAAAACAAGAAATGAATTTACCCCAAATCTAGGAGGGGCTCAGAAATCAGCAACAATTCAATTATGGTTTGCAATCGCTGAGGGTAGAGAATGGTACATAGTGTTCATTATGGTACTAACACGATTCAGTTGGTAGTGGTGGCCTGGAAAGCAGGAGGGGAAACAGTCTGATGCTATCTCTGGCTCTACAGGAAGAGTGCTGTAATTGATTAATGATGTCTGCCATGAGTATGGAAGGGGTAGAGGAGCACATGTATCATGCACTTCCACTCCTGACTGGGGAAGGGGCTGTAGGTGATACAGTATTCTTCAGGGCCATGATGTGGAGACAGGCAAGCTACATCACAAGCAAAATGATTTGTGGTTACCCTTTTTCAGTTGTTTTCACACGCTCCAGGAGGCTCTAAAGTCTAAGGTGGTGGCTGGCTCAGTACAACATGTGACTAGGAACCCTGGCCTCAGGCTGTCTGCTCCTTAGCTCCCCCCAGGAGCACCCACAGCTGCTCATCAGACCCTGCCTTTCCTGTCCTGCCTTTCTGGGTCCCAGATTCCTCCTGTGCACAGATGTCATGGGAAGGGCACGAGGGTTAATGACACAATACACTCAAAGAGCGTCACACTCTTGACTACAAGAAAGTGTTCAATAAACATCTGCAAAAAGATGTTATTCTTATTCCTACCTGTGGCCCCTGTGGCCACTTAGTGGACCTAGCTAAGCCTCCGTTTCCTCGTGTCATACAGGGCAAATAATGGCATTTGCTGCTGTCCCTGGAATGATGAGGGAACACCAAGGGGCCACACAGATTACAAGCACCCCACCCACTGTAAGTGTGCAAGTAAACCCTGCCTTTGTATTTAAAAAAAAAAAAAAAATTAAACGCCATGCTTTATTCAGATTTCCTCAGTTTTGCCTTCATGTCCCTCTTCGATTCTGGGACTCCATGGAGGGCCCCAAATGACATTTAGTCGTCATGCCCCGTAGACTCCTCTGAGCTGTGACAGTTTCTTAGAATCTCCTTGTTTTTGATGACCTTGACCGTGGGGAGGATTGGCCAGGTACTTTGTAGATTGTCCCGTTCTTGGGATTTGTCTGATGTTTTTCTCATGATTGCAATGGGGTGATGGGTTACTGGGAGGAAGACCATAGAGGTCAAATGTAGTTTTTATACATCATATCAAGGAGAAATTCTGTCAAATTGGCTTATTGTTGTTGATGTTGACCTTGATCATCTGACTGAGTCTGGGTGTGTCTGTTTTCTCCACTGCAAGGCGACTCTTGCCCCCTTCCATATAGTGCTCTCTGGAAGGACCTCGCTGTGCACAGCCCACACTAAAGGAGTGAGAAGTTATGCTCTGGGTCCTTCAGGGCGAGGCATCTACAGACATTATTTGGGCCTATTCTCCCTGGGAGGCTTTCCTCTTCTCCTCCAGCCACCGTCTTTTTGTAATTCTTATGTGCTGCAAAAAGATTCTTCCTGTTGCCATAATGGAGGACAAGCTGTACAAAACCCCCAAAACTCCTTAACCAGAATCTCAACCCCAGTTCCTGGCTGTCAGGCTGGGCCAATCCTATCCCCCAAATCTGTGCCAACACAAAAGGCCAGGTAGGTGCACGGGGCCTCATGCACTGGGCGCTGGGGTCTGGGTGTTGGGGCAGGGGGAACTCACCATGTTATGCTTGAGGATTCGCTGCACCACAGGGGTGAACACCTCGATGACTACCATGGACCGGGGCCGCTCTCTGCAGTGCTGGGGAGAGAGTAGGGTACAGTGACCGTGGGCCTAAGAATGTTCCGACCACAGCCCGGGGCTGCTAGCAGGGCTAGAGACAGTGAGCCCAGCTGTGGGTGCCTGGGTTCCCTTGATGAGCACTGTTGCACCGTTTTCTAAAAATGAGTTTATTTTGGAGGAGGGGCCAGTTCTAGGTTCAGAGTGGAATGGAGAGGAAGGCAGAGAGCTTTCCCAGATACCCCCTCCTCCGGCACGCATGGCCTCCCCAACTATCACTGCACATGTTCCTATTAAGGATGGGGTGGGGGCGTTCCAGGCCCAGAAACGTACCCTGGGCACTCAGGCCAGCGGGCATGTGGGGCACTGGAAAAAGAATCCTGGTGGAGAGACGGGGCCCAAGAAGACAACACAATCCTGTTTCCCTTTCCTGTCCCCTGATGCACACACAGAGGACTCCCTGGGCAGGGGGTAAAGTGCACCACGGTCCCCGTTCCTCCCAGGTGCCTGCGTTTCCACCTCACAAGCTGGTCTCATTGGTGGACACAGCCCACGCCTCCCCAAAGGACCATGCAGTGTAACCAATGTAGCACGTACACCCTGTGGGGTATTTGTTACAATGGATAACCCCACACTGACACATCACTGTTACCCAGGGTCCACAGGTGACTTTAGGGTTCACTCTCGGTGCTGTGCGTTCTGGGTGTTTAGACAAATGTCTGATGTCCTGGAGCCACCACTGTAATATCATAGCCTCGAAGTCATTTCACTCCCTAAAAATCCTCTGTGCTCAGCCAATTCATCCTTCCCTCTCCCCAACCCCTGGCAACCACCGATCTTTTTACTGTCTGTATAATTTTGCTTTTCCCAGAATGTCCTGTAGTTGGAATCATGCAGTGTGCAGCCTCTTCAGATGGGCTCCTCTCACTTACTCACATGCATTTAAATTCCCCCTTTCTCTTCGTGGTCTACTAGCTCGTTTCTTTTTAGTGCTGAATAACTCTCCATTGTCTGGGCATTCCACAGTTTATTTATCCATTCACCCACTGGAAGGCATTTTGGGTGCTTCCAGGTTCTCGCAGTCATGAATACAGCTGCTGTAACATCTACATGTAGATGTTTGTCTGGACAAGTGTGTTGAACTCATTTGAGGAAATACCTAGGAGTGCCATAGCCTTAAAAGTTTTTTCTTTTGGCCGGGCGCGGTGGCTCAAGCCTGTAATCCCAGCACTTTGGGAGGCCGAGACGGGCGGATCACAAGGTCAGGAGATCGAGACCATCTTGGCTAACACGGTGAAACCCCGTCTCTACTAAAAAATACAAAAACCTAGCTGGGCGAGGTGGCGGGCGTCTGTAGGCCCAGCTACTCGGGAGGCTGAGGCAGGAGAATGGCGTGAACCCGGGAGGCGGAGCTTGCAGTGAGCTGAGATCCGGCCACTGCACTCCAGTCTGGGTGACAAAGCGAGACTCTGTCTCAACAATAAAAAAAAAAGTTTTTTCTTTTTTTTTGGAGTTAAAAAAGTAGATGAGATGAGAGCTTTTGTTTGCTTTTTGTTTGATTTTGACCTTAAAGCTTGAGACTGTTTCAGATGGTACACATAGGCGTCCTGACATGGTCCTTATTTAACATATAATGAGACTTTTGTAAAGCTAAGATTCTGCATGTGTGGTCTGAAAGACCTTGGAAATTGGGTATGATAATACCAGGGCTTTGGCATTTGAACACCAGGGTGTTGAAAATTCTGTGACTCTTCAGTTGGTGACTTTAGCACTCGGGTGGCGTCTGCAGGCCCGATTCATCACCAGTGTGGCGTTTTGTTTTTCAGATTGGAAAGGAAGCCCTTCACAGGCTGTGCAGACAAGGCGCAGCCCCTCCCTCGTGTCCTGCACACATTTATCACCCACCCGGCCCCTGGATGAGGATGCTGGACGTGGGGTAAGATAAATCAGGGCTCCCCTGAGAGAGCAAGATGAATAAACTTTCCTCAGATCTCGGAATTTGGCAGGAGGCTGGCAGAGCAGACGCAGCGCGGGAGGCTTCGGTCCCCTCAAGCTCTCCTCTCTGGGTTCCAACTCCCAGAGGGAAAACAGCCGAAGAAGCATCCCACGTGGCTGGGACCCCTCCCTCCAAAAGGCAGACGGCCCTCTTTGAAACACCCACACGGGATTATAGCAAAGAATGCCAAAAAGGATAACTTTTTGTACCTCACCCTTTTCCAAACTGTGCTACCAGGAACGCTGAGGTAAGAAACACAGTGAGACAAGTGAAGCCTCAGGTAGGAAACACAGTGAGGCAAGTGTATCTTGTTCTACAACAAATATCCAGTGTTCTAGAACCAGAGTTTGAGAATCTTGAGATCTGGGAGAAATCCTAAGCTTGAGAGGCAAGCATGGGGCAGGTTTGGGTTAAACTGGACAGGAGATGGAGGAGGTGACCTTCGGTGACAGGCAGAGGAGCAGCTAGCCGTTCTCTCAGGATACCAGGTTATTTAACTCCACTCTGCTGGGGGCATGATACCCATGAGGCCCAGGGGCAGAGAAGGCCCTCGTGTGCCCCGAGGAGCCCGGGGCCTGTGTGTATCCACACCTGTACACACACACACACACACACACACACACACACACACACGCTCGTAGGCGTTCACTCCCTGGGCCCGGGGGCACACACTGCACACGCCCACATTAAGGATGGGGGTAGAGGTCGTTCCAGGCCCTGACAAGTACCCTGGGCACTCAGACCAGCAGGTGTGTGGGTCGCTAGAAAAGGAATCCTGATAGGGAGGCAGACTCCAGGAGGATAACAGAATCTTGTCTCCCTTTCAAAGCTCCTATCCCCTGACACACACACCCGGGGGTGGGGGGCCGGGGGAGGGCAAGGGAAATCAAGTGCACCACAGTCCCGTTTCCTCCCAGGGGCCTGCTGTTCCACCCCACAGGCGGGTCCCACTGCTGTACACAGCCCACACCTCTCCAAAGGACAGTGGGTGACCTTGGCAGGAGGCAGGTAATGGGAGCGTGGAGGGATGAGGACCAGCTGAGCAGGGCAGCAGGGGTATGACAGGGGAGTGCTGAGAACATGTCTTTCCAACGACATACAATTATTACACTAAAAAATAACCCACACACAGCAAAGAACAAAACAGGTTTGTGTGCTGGTTTGGCCTGAGCTGAGAAGATGTGCTCTGGGAATGAGAAATGCCTGCTCCCCGATGTGCCCTGGGCATGTCCTATGTGAAGCCCACTGCAAGGCTGGTGCCGGGTGCCTGACAGCGGATGCCCTGCTCCACGGCTCCTCTAAGCTAACCTGGAGCACCATGCTGCCTCCTGTGTTCAGGGAAAGCCCCACAGCCGCACCCCACCGTGGGCCAGCCACTGCGCAGAGGAACCTTGGCTAATAATAACCCAGCTCTGACGTCAGGAGCCCAGGAAATCTGCAGCAACCTGTCTCCCAGGACAGCCGGGAAGTGATTCCAAGAAAAAGCAAGATGTTCCTCCTCTGACTGTTTGTCACCTGTCTGGCAGAGAGGTGGGTGTAACCCTAAGGATGGGTACCTGGCGCAGAGAGGTGGGTGTAACCCTAAGGATGGGTGCCTGGCATGCCCTCCGCCTGTGTCTGGGACCATGGCCCAAGACTGTGGGGCCCAGGTTTTCGGCCTTTCTGTGCAAACCCGATCCCCAGTGTGCACACACCGAGGGAGGTAGCCCCCTGCAGCCAGAGCCCCAGCTCAGCAATCCCGTACCTTGCAAAAGAATTCACAGAGATCTGGTGGTGGGTGGTTGTTTTCCAGCAAAGGAGCGATTGCCTGAAACACAACAAACAAGGATCAGGAACTGTGGGGTAGACAGCCACGAAAAGACTTCGAACAATCTCCAGGCCATATTGTGAAGAGAGAAAAATAAATCCAGGGCGACACACCGTGCATCACATCATTCATATTAAAAGCAAAAAAAATAAAAATAAAAATAAAAAACCCCCAAAACCCAAAAAATCCACAACCATATCTGTCTGTGTGGGTTTGTCACCACCTGAAAACAAGATGTTTCTGAAGAGGGCACTGGGATGGGATGATATCCTCTTTTCCTGATGAAAACATACTCATACTCATGAAATACTTGCAAAATTGGCCAGGCACAGTGGCTCACGCCTGTAATCCCAGCACTTTGGGAGGCCGAGGCAGTAGATCACTTGAGGTCAGGAATTCAAGACCACCCTGACCAACATGGTGAAACTCCGTCTCTACCAAAAATACAAAAATTAGCCGGGCATGGTGGCACTCAGGAGGTTGAGGCAGGAGAATCACTTGAACTCAGGAGGTGGCATTGCAGTGAGCCGAGATCGCATCACTGCACTCTAGCCTGGGCGACAGAGAGACTCTGTCTCAAAAAAAAAAAAAAAAGAAAGAAAGAAAGAAAGAAAGAAAGAAAAGAAAAAAAGAAATACTTGCAAGATGATATTTTAAATAAAATTAAAAGTTCTATCACAGCTAGTATGGCTGGGGTCGGGGTCTGAACTTGATTCTAAACTTGAACCTAGATTCAGCTTTAACCACCACGTTCTTCACCACCATGGTGAGAGCCTTCCATAGTGAGCCGGATCACAGCTGGGGTTTGGACTCCTGGTCCAAGACCAACAACAGTTACTATTGCCTGGCCAATGGAATGAATAAAACCAACTCAAGCTATGGTAGAAAAATTAGTGCATAAAAAAACTACCAAGCACATGGGAGAAGACTAATTGCCAACAGGGCAAATAAGAGGATGTAACTGTTGGAATGAAAGGAGGCTCCAGAAGTCGTCACAATAATGACAACAGCAATAGTAATAAAAGAATGCTGGAAGGGGAGGCTGTAAAATGCAGGGGTGAGGGTCAGACCCTCAGATCAAATTCTTTCCTGTTCTCAGGCATTCCTGCTGAGCCGGGAAGCTCAACCCGACCCAACTAAGGGTTCAGTTCAGCCATATTAGCTGGATAAATGCAGCCTGGATTTCTCGGATCAAAATTTCTTTCCCAGGCTTGTCCTGAATGCAAGCCCTTGTCCTCCATCTAGGGCTTCCAGGCACCCAGTGGGACCCACAGGTGTTGCTGGCGGGGAGAGGAAGCAGTACCTCCTTTCGGTTCTGCAGCAGCCCATCTTACCACTTTGCCTTTGCACATGGAAGTCCCCCTGCCTGGAACGCCTTTCCCAGCTTGCTCCGTTTACCTGACATTTTCCTATCTCTCCTTTAAGATTCAGCTTGGTCACCTCCTCCTGGAAGTCCTCCATCATCATCCTCCCAGTACCCTCCCTGACACAGGTTAAGTACCTATCCTCTGCACCCCCACTAACACCCAGAACAAACCTCAGCCCTTGGCTATGTTATTTTTGTATTATCTGTTGATCCACCAGGTTCTCTCAGCATACATTCAATCCTCAATGCCGGCCTCATGTCTCATCCAGCTCTCTATCTGTGGGACAGAGTTAGTGTCTGGCACATAGTTAAACTCACATGCTCAGCAAAGTACATTAAATGAATGGATGAATTAATACTATGCCGGAAAAAGGTGGTGGTGAGTGACTGGGGGTGCCCAGGTTGACGTGTTCTCCTGTTCTGGCAAGAGAAGGCAAGGGATAGTCAGGGTGAGAGCATGGAGAAAACCTCTATACTGTCAGCAAACACCCACTGGGGGCCGACTATGTGCCAGACACTGGAGGTGACAGCAAAGGCAGAAGCTGCTGCCTTGACTCTCTACAATCAAAGGCCTGAGGTCCACCTCATTTTGTGCATACCATAACCAGCTTGGCTTGCCAGGGCCGACTGAGTGGGTCCCTCAAGGCCTCGATTCAGCTAAAGGAGTCTGAGGGGCCTAGTGACTGATGCTGCTCTTGTTCTGTACCTTGCAGCCAGGAGACATCCCAGGCCGCTTAGTTCCAAGGTCCCCTCCTGGGCACAAAAGGCTCTGCCTCTTGCTTCTATTTCATCTCCCATCCGCCTGCTTCTCATTTCCTTATGCTTAATGCTCCAGAAATGCTGAAGCTTCCAGAACGCACCACGTTGCTTTAAATCTTTGTGCCCTTGCACATTGTTTCTTCTCTCTGGGATGTTTTTATCCTGTTTTGCCACCTGGAAAACTCCTATTGATCCTTCAAAACCCAGCTCAGACATCACTACCTCCAGGAAGCTCTCTGGCTCCTTTCCCAGGGGAGTTTATCACTCTACTTACTCTCTGCACTCAATGTCTCTATGTTTTTTGGTGATCACTTTTGTCTTCTTACAATAGATGACGAACTCCTTGGGGACTAGGTTATCTGAATTCAAATACATAGCACGGTGCTGACCATCTAGCAGGTGCGATTTCATTGCTTTCTTCTCTCAAGTGAGAGTTAGGTTTCGTAGCTAAAAGTCATCTAGGAAGATATTTTACCTCAAAAATGCTTACGTCATGGTAGAGTCCCAGAAAATAGCATCTCACTTTATGTATCACAGGGAATTAAATCCAAGTTCTATTTGTGGATTAATTGGCAGACATGTCCTGGGGCAAGAAAGAGGACGTTTACCTTTCAGCTAATGGGGTGATGCCTCTGAATAAATTATACGGTCTCTGCCATCTCCTGCCTTCAACTCCCTAGGCAGACTCAGGAAGGAGGAGGCGATTATGATACATTTGCTACAAACCTCAAAGACAGATAATTACACTCCCTCTCCCATCAACTGGGGCTCTGAAATGTGCAAAGGCAGAGGGAGATGCGACCAGCTTGCTAGAAAAGACAAAACGGAGCAAGGCCAGATGCTGGTGGATTACGCAGGCGCCAGAATTACCCCAAACCAGGAAAAGGGTTGTAGGCTCCAGGAGGCGGAGGTGGGTGGAGGGTGCGTGTTCGAGAGGAACTTACCACAATGATGTTTTCATGCTCCTGGGTGGTCAAGTTTGTGTTCTAAAGGATTGAAGGCAGACAGCAGGAGGAAAAGAAAACAAAAGAAAATTAAGAAAACGAGCATTTGGATTTCAAGATCCACAGTTTTAAAACATCTTCAGCGTCACAGACCAACTGTCACCATCATTTTTTCTTAATTAAACAGATCTGAACACCCTCAGAGACAAGGTCGGGAAAGGGGGAAAAGTATGGTTTCGGGGCAGGGAGAACTGAGTTCTTGTCTCTGTTTCAGGGCTTGAGTTATGTGACCTTGACTGAGTCAAGTCTGGGGGAGACTCAGTTTCTGCTTTGGTAAACGGGGTTTCCAGTAACCTCATTAGGCTGTTGGGAGAGGATCTGGTCCTTGTCAAAGTGAAACTGCGTAGAAGCCAGAGGGCAGGTTCATAATAAGTATGTAAAGAAACAGACCTTTTAAGAGTCCTAATGCTGTAGCAGGCAGCCTTTTAGGAGTAACACGTATATGATTTCAGTGTTTCTCAAACGAAGTTCCCAAGGAACACAAAGTTCTGTGAGTGGGCCTGAGATGTTTTAGCTGAATTCAAATTCTACCAACTGACTTGCAAAAACGTAATTAGGTTGAATGGATTACATCTGCTGAAATTTTAGGGGTCCTGTTTCCTTCCCAATCTGGACTTTTCTTAAATAATTGGTAACCGTTACAGGTTGAACATCCCTTACTGAAATGCTTGGGAACATGTGTTTTGGATTTCCATTTCTTTTTAAATTTTGGAATATCTGCATTATACTTAACCAGTTGAGCATCCTAGTCTGAGAATCCAAAACCTGAAACTCTCCAATGAGCATTTCCTTTGAGTGTCATGTTGGTGCTCAGAAAGTTTTGGACTTTGGGCCAGGAACGGTGGTGCATGACTGTAATCCCAGCACTTTGGGAGGCCAAGGAGGGTGGATTGCTCGAGGCCAGCCAGGGGTTCAAGATCAGCCTGGCCAACATGGCAAAACCCCGTCTCTACAAAAAATACAAAAATTATCTGGGCATGGTGGTGGGCACTTGTAATCCCCGCTACTCGGGAGGCCGAGGCAGAAGAAACATTTGAACCCAGAAGGCGGAGGCTGCAGTGAGCCGAGATTGTGCCACCACACTCCAGCCTGGGCGACAGAGCGAGACTGTCTCTAAAAAAGAAAGTTTTGGACTTTGGAGCTTTTCAGGTTTCAGGACTAGAGATGCTCGACCTGTGCCGTCATCTGTGAGTACGTGAACAAGGAAAGAGACGGATGTGCCATAAACAAGGAATCACGGGAAAACCCCAAGTGCTCGCCCTTCTTTCTTGCTAGTTTCATGGTGTGTTCCGCTTTGCTTGTCTGTTTTGGTGGACACACAGTGGTGCCGATTCGTATTTCCTAACAGAGCCACATTGGCTGCTTGTAAAGAGACCCCTCATTTGAACAGTGTCGGCAAGATCGATTGTTCTGGTTCTAGACAGAGTCCCATGGCTCCCACCACCTAGACAGGTTTAAGGCATACGGGGGTGTCTAATGTGTTGACAGCAGCGAAGGCAAAAGAAAAGCTCGCGAGCTATGAATTGGCTTCTGCCCAATAAACTGGCTTCCCGAGGGCTGCGGGAGACCGTGAAGACGGGTCAGCGTCTGAACAACACGAGTCTCTACAGGTCCCCATGAGACGTCCTGACCTAGGTGAGGCCAGACCCAAGACACCTAGACTCCAGGCATGTGAAAGGATGTTTTTTGGATTTGAACACCCTTTTTTCTCTAGTGGATATGAGTGGAGTTTGAGCAGCCTGTTTATGGTAGATTATTAACTATCAGTCATTTTTCAGCCTGGGGGAGAAGCCTGGCCTTGGTCTCTCGTTATGACTGCTGATGAGCTCTCTATGCCTCAGGCACTGTGTAAGACCTTTGTTTTGCTCATGCCACCAATTTCTTTTGGTTATGACAGGTTCTCTACTATCCCATTGACTGATCAGCTGCCTGAGACTGACGGGATGCAGTGACTAGCAGGTGCAGGGTAATACGGGGTGGAGTGAGGATATGAACCCGTCTGTCCTGACTCCAAAGTCTATATTTCCTGCCACTGAGCTATAGTGCTCCACCACCCATTCAAGAGGCAGTTCCTTATTTTGGGCTGCCAAGGGCAGCTCGACACATCCATCCCTCGCCCCCACCCCCACACCTTTTCAGGAAGGCTTTGGTGACCATGGACACTACTTCCTTTGTCCCAGTCACAGGGCAGCCCATGCATTCTACAGGGAGCCTTCTCTCCACCACGGCCATTTTCCACCCCCGGTAGAGCATGTCCACTAATAGCCGCTGCATTAGAGGGAACACCTGACTCTCAAGCTAAGTGGCCACTCTACATATAACTCAACAGAGGCCTGGGAGGGTGGGGACAGCCAGCTTTGCTTTGTTGGTGGACAGACAGTTCTTTCTCAGAACTGTTTTGCATCCTTAACAGTTCCCTCCACGATGCCCCTCCGTCTGCTCCCTCCTGATCCTTCCACTTTCTAGTCGGTCTGGTGATGCCTGGAACCTCTCCAGAGGAGGCCTTGCAAACAACATGAGTAAACAGAACAGAGAAAAAACCCAGCCCCAAAACAGGGCACGGAGGTCGAAGGCAGGTGTTTGTTTTTCCAGCTACTAGCTCCAGACACCTGGCTGAGGGCGCTTACGGGGTTCAGACCACAGCCATCCTTTATGACAGTGAAAAGGTGGCCCTGTATCAAAGGCCCTTGCACGTTAGGCACAGTGCCAAGCCCTTCATGTGGATGAGAGCATCTCATCCTCCGTCCTATGAAATGGGTACTCGTCTCAGACCCAATTTACAGAAAACAACTGGGCACAGAGAGGCCTAGCAACTTGTCCAAGGTCACTCAGCTACTGAGCGCAAGACAAGGTCCTTCCGACCCCACAACACGCACTCTTAATCTACACAGTCACATACTTGCCAAAAAGTCTCTACCAACCCAGGTTTAGGACACATCTATGTGCAGGGGCATAAGCTTCACCATTGGGCAGACCCACGTGAGGGTCCTGGCCTAACACTTATCTGAATGGCCCCGTGTAAGCTACTTAACCTCTCGGCACCCCTGGTTACTCCTCTATAGTATTTAAATATTTAACTTGCAGGGTCCTTGCGAGAAACTGGGGAGGTCTAACGGCCATCAAACTGACCACTGCAGAGTATGCATGAGTGGATGCTGGGTCAGGCAGCCTGGGCTGGAGTCCCAGCTCTGTCCCTCACGAAATGTCAGCTCTCTTCAGTAACGTAGGGTGAGTAATGCTGACTCCTTGCCTGACACAGTAGCTTCAAAGCACATGGAAACTTCTTCCGTTTTCCTACTTTAAATATCTTTATTCCTCCATCCTAGCACTTAGGGGTCAGCTGCCTTTGAGATTTTTACTTTAAAGCCCAAGAAGCACCCTCAGCCAGGTGTCTGGAGCTAGGTGTGATGGCTCAAGCCTATAATCCCAGCACTTTGGGAGGCCAAGGTGAGAGGATCGCTTGAGCCCAGGAGTATGAGACCAACCTAGGCAACACAGTGAGACCCCATTGGTAATTAAAAAAAAAAAAAAAGGCCGGGCGCGGTGGCTCAAGCCTGTAATCCCAGCACTTTGGGAGGCCGAGGTGGGTGGATCACAAGGTCAGGAGATCGAGACTATCCTGGCTAACATGGTGAAACCCCGTCTCTACTAAAAAAAATACAAAAAACTAGCCGGGCGTGGTGGCGGGCGCCTGTAGTCTCAGCTACTTGGGAGGCTGAGACGGGAGAATGGCGTGAACCCGGGAGGCGGAGCTTGCAGTGAGCCGAGATCACGCCACTGCACCCCAGCCTGGGAGACACAGCGAGACTCCGTCTCAAAAAAAAAAAAAAAAAAAAGCCCAAGGAGGGATGTGAAGGCCAACAGGCATGCGGTCACCTGAAGCACATCTGAGAGGGGAAAAAAATCTTGCCCAAGGCAGGCAACATGGCACGTCTGCTGCCCTCATCACTGCCCTGATTTAAAAAGGGTGTGGTGGTGGTCGAGCCTGGTGGTGCTGAAGTGGTGGCCAAGTTGGTCTCAAAAGCACTTGGCAACTCTAAGGTGGAGCTTCTAGCTCCATTACAAACTTGCCATGTGAGTTGAGTAGGTTACTCAGTATCACTGGGCCTCAGTTTCCTCATCTGCAAAGTGAAGACAGAAAGGACCACCTTTCAGAGAGAATGAGTTTTAAAAGAGAAGCTGTCTCACTTTGGGAAGCCAAGGCAGATGGATCATTTGAGGTCAGGAGTTCAAGACCAGCCTGGTCAACATGGTGAAACCTTGTCGCTACTAAAAATACAAAAAATTAGCTGGGTATGGTGGCACGCGCCTGTAATCTCAGCTACTTGGGAGGTTGCGGCAGAAGAACTGCTTGAACCCAGGAGGCAGAGGGTGCAGTGAGCTGTCACACCACTGCACTCCAGTTTGGGTGGCACCCGACACCTGCCCGGCTTACTACAGGTGAGCAGGGACCCCTTCTCCAGATGAGAAGTCTGCAGCTGGGGCTGGACATCTGGTACCCGGCCTCAGAATTCCAGCCACTCTGTGATTCATTTCCCAGCCTGGGTTTTCACTCCTCTTGGAACGATGCTGGTCTCCCAAGTGAGGACACCACCTCTGACCTCTGTCCCTCTGCCTGAGACTGTCACTGCCACCTACTTTCTACCTCCCACCCCGCCTCCTCCCAGAATGAGGGGCCTTCTCTACTCCGCAGACACAGAGGGCTGGTGACAGGCTCCTGTCCCAGGGCAGTGGCCAGAGAGGGGAGGGCTCCAGGAAGCTGGGCACTTGCATGGGAGCTTGATGGGAGTGACTCAGGAACCGGGGGTGCCACTGTCAGGGGAGGGGGACAGAAGCATCACTCTGGTGGCCGTGCACAGTTTAAATCAGGAGTCATCAACTCCAGTGTTCCCAGAGGGCCAGGTGAGCAAATAAACGAGAGCAGTATTAATATTTGTAAAGCACCTAGAATAGCATCTGAAACAGAGACAACAGAAAGAAGCACATTTCCGAAGCGCCTTCTGCCTAACCAGCAGCGGGACAGACACGCTGATGAGTTTCATTGTTCACTGCCTGTCTCCCCTGCCGGGACACAAGCTCCAGGGGGGTAGGGGCTTGTCTTTGCTTGAATTCCCAGATGGTGCCTGGCACAAAGTACACATTCAACATGCGGGGAGGCCAGCAAAGCAGATGGCACAGGAAGCCCAGCCGACAGGTAGCACCAGGTAGCGCCAGCTGCAAACCGCGGCTGGATTTTCTGATTGTTTTTAAAGAGAACCTGGAAATTCCCAGTGTATTGTGAAATATCCTAATTTTTAAAATGGTGTTTAAATTAAACAAAGCACATCTACAGGCTTTGTGGGGTGACGAGGGCAGAAAGCTAAGTCCCCCTGGACCCGTGAAGCTCATGTGGGCCACTGCTGGGGGAAGACAGAGATGGGGCTGGGACTACCGGCCCCCACTGTACGGGGCAACACCTCCTCCTCCGTGCTACAATCCCCAGACAGCACAGCTGGAAGCAGCTGGGGCAAGCCTCCCTCACCAACTCCCACACATGGCTGGGTGGGCAACTGCTCACCTCCCTCGGCAGCAGGGTGACAACACAGCCCACATGGAGCTCTGCCTGCGCGTGCTGCTTGGCGGGGAGCCGGTGATCGGCGGTGATCGGCGGAGATCGGCGGAGGGAAAGGCAAACAACGTAAAGGGGTCTGGGGGGAGGTTTTACCTCTGAGAGCAGTTTCGAGACGATTTCCAGTGGGGCCTGGTTGATGGAGTCGTCCTGCAGGGGGGATGTCAGGGCCATGTCCACCAGGGTCCGGATCTCTTTCAAGACAACTTCCCAGCGGCTTGGGTTACTCAGCACTTTCTTATATTTGTAAATCTTTTTCTGGTTGAAAGAGATAAAGAGACAGCAACATGTTACTCATGTAAGGAGGGCAGAAGATGGAAGACAATCAAAGAATCAGATGGGTTAGGGTGAAAAGGCTCTGAGAAACTGCCAACTTGGCCCGGTCCCCGTTGATAAGGAAACTGACACCCCGAGAGAGGAAGGGTCTCGTTCAAAGCCACAGGGTGCGTTTGCAGCCAGGCCTCCTGACACCAGAGACCCATTTCCCACACAGGCTCACTTCAGCCCGATGATAATCCTTGATAGATGACCTTTTTCTTTTTTCCTGTTTTTTGTTTTTGTTTTTGCTAAAAGGATGAGGAGACCAAGGTACACAAGAGGTTAGAAAATCTGCCCAAGACTCTAGAGTTGGCAGAGCTGAGACAGAAACATGTGTCCTGACTCTCAAGCCAGTACCCTCACCACCATACTATACTGTCTCCACACAGTTTCCAGTGACTTCAAAAACAAAATGGGGAGATTTCTCTTTTAGATCATATCTTTTGCCAAACTCATTCCCCAAGGATTCAAGTGCAGTAACAGTGGGAATGGTCAGTCCACAAAGGGGCTTTCTCTGAGTTGAAGGCACTGTTTCCGCCTACGCCATTCCCAAGAGGTCGCCTGAAGACAGGTAGTCAGCTAGGAAACATGACAGACAGGATTAAGGCTGGGAATTAAACTCCAGCCAGGTAGGGACTAAACCCAGAATGCTCCCCTGGAAACCCGGCATTGCCCTCCGCATCCACCTGGCGAGGAAGAGAAGAGTGCTCTCACCTTCGCTTGGGCGCTGTGTCGAAGCCAGAGAGTGGTTGGGGCAGGGGCTGCCGCCTCCCTGGATTTGAGGCAGGGTTAGTTCCGCCTCTCTGACATCATGGAAACGGAGGCCCTCGGAAGGCGGAGGTCTGGGCCAAGCGCTCCCTCCACCCCCGCCCTGGCTCCTGCCTTTGCAGCTGCCTGCCCCACTGCACCCGGCCTGCCTGAGAGACTTTCTAACTGGATGAACTCCTTCGTTAAGTGCTCTGCTCCTCAGGGAGAGCCTAATTTTAGTATCACCGTGCCAGCAGCCAGCTGGGGTGACATGTCACAATCTCTGAGCCAAAGTCAGAAAGAGGAGGGGGGAGAGGAGGGTCCCCTGCTGACCGCTAAGGCTCAACCAGAAACCTACAAGCTGCCAGAGCCTCCCTGACCGCTTAGTTTCTGAGCTAGGAATTATCAAGTGGTCTTGGGACGCACTGCCATCGAGGAAATATTTGGGGGACACATTCCATGCCAAGCTGAACAGTTACTTCTGTCGGTGAGGCACAGTGGTGGGACGGGAGGTGGACCTGAGTTGGAAAGATCTGGTTCTTTCTAGAGAACTTTCACCTTCTGAGTGTCAGGGTCCTGTTCTGTAAGTCCGGCTCGAAAATACCTGTATCTCTTTCAATCTGTAGCCCTTACCCATCCTAGACCCATGTGGTCCACTCTATGGAGTCGCATTCAAAAGTAAAGTCCAGCTAAAACAGCCAAGAGTAACGAAAAGGAAGGCCGAGACTGCACCTGTCTCCTGAGAAACTGAAGGAGATGAAGTGTAAAACCTAGGCCAATACGGCATCCCATCTTCCTCCTCTCCACTATTTCCCCACACCCCATGATTTTCTGGGGCCTCTGATACACTCATTGCCACTGGTGTTGCCCCCATGAACTCACACCAAGGGCGGTTTTCAGTATCCCCCCATCACCCCAAGTCTTTCCTGTCATCTCTCCCTTCTCCTCTCCCTGCTCCTTTCTCCTTCTCTCTAGTTCTTTCATCTACCCACCTGCCTACCTTTCTCTCCTCCTTCCAGCACCCCGGTCTTACTGTTCTTTGCCCATTCACCCATTCCACATCAAGAATCAGAAAGAGATCAGCTCTTCTCATAGGCCCAGGAGGGCAAAGGAGGCCAAGGCAGCCCAGCATTCCCCAGGCAGCAGGAGGGGAAAGACCAGAAACATTCCCTTGCCAGCCACTGGAGACCCTAAAAGTACGGGAAGAAACGTGTGACAAGCTGTCAGGGGTGAGCGTACAGTGAAGAGTAAACATGCTGTTGATATTGATGATGGCTGAACTTCATTAATGACAAGACGTACCCAGTCCACTGAGGTGTCTCTGGAACCATAACCAGCCTCCTTCCTAGTTACTGTCAACTGAAGCTGCCCTGTCCTAGTGCTGTGAGCAGGACGTGCTGCCTGAGCAGTACAACGAAATCTGTGCAAAACACAACATGTCTGAAGCAAGAACCCTGCCCGTTCCAGAGGATGAATGCTCCTTTGAGCCTTAGAGTCTGTGGTTTCAGTGTGTACCCAGAGAATTGTTTAATTTTTAAAAGACCATGAAATGATCACACAAAATCCACCATATATCAAGCCCCAAAGCAAACCGCAGTGATCCACACCCGTGTCTTCCCACAGCAGACTGCAGATTTGCATGGAGTCTGGGCTCTAAGTGGACTCTTCTGAGCAGCTGCACATTATTTACTTTTGCAAGATTAATGACTTCATTCTTTTGGTAAAGACGCATGCTCACTGCAAACAATCTAAACCATACTGAAAAGCACAAAGAAGAGGATAAGTTTTAAAAGGCCTCAAAAATCCCACAACCCAGAAATAGCCACCATTAATATTTGGTGAACATCATTCCAGCGAAGTCTCATTTAAACTTTGCAAAATACAACCAGCCCTGAGGTGGGTGGCTGTGAGTACAACCTCCTGTTCTCCACACACAGACGCCACTCAAGATGCAGAGGCGACCAGTCTGAGGCATAGCAGGGCCCAGTGGGCAAGGCTGGCACCAATGCAGCTTCAGAGACGAGCCCTCGGGGTCGGTGCACCCAGCCTCAGCTCATCCACAGCTCCCCTTCTTCGAGCGGGGAGGACAACAGCTTTCCCGGGAGGGCCCAAGCCCTTGTTTCACAGGCATCCATGGGAGAGTCTGCAGAGGCTGTATTCAGAGCCAGAAGGTCCCAGGGCTTGTACCAAGGGCTAACATTTCATGAGGACATACCATGTGCCAGGCACAGTGCTAGCTCTTATGAGCTTTATCTCACTCAATCCTCACAGTATCCCATGAGTTGGGGCTTGTCATAGGAAAGACCCTGAGACAAGCGACTGAGTGCAAATGGCTTACTGATTTGAGAGGGAATGGCAGGAAATACTGGTGGGGTGAGTGGGGAAGTGAGACGGGTAAGAGAAGATGGTCAATAAACGGGGCACTGTCAAGCACATGATATGGGCAATGAGGGCTCACTCCTGCTAGGGGCTCTAGGGGACAGTGCACATCACACTCAGAGCTGACGGTCCTAAAAAGTGAGGGAGCCGGCCATTTGTCCATCAGTTCCCTAAACTCTTCAGGGATATATATATATATATATTTTTTTTCTGAGACAGTCTTGCTCTGTCACTCAGGCTGGAGTGTAGTGGTGAGATCTCGGCTCACTGAAATCTCTACCTCCCGGGTTCAAGTGATTCTCCTGCCTCAGCGTCCCAAGTAACTGGGATTACAGGTGTGCACCACCATGACCAGCTAATTTTTGTATTTTTAGTAGAGATGGGGTTCACCATGTTGGCCAGGCTGGTCTTGAACTCCTGATCTCGTGACCCGCCCACCTCAGCCTCCCAAAGTAGTGGGATTACAGGCAAGAGCCACCACACCAGGCCAACTCTTCAGGCCTTCTGACTGCCCTGTGCCCAGGCCAGAGTGATCCCAGAGCCAGCAAAAAGCACGCGCTCGCGCAGGGTCCCAGGTGTTCATGGTGAGCAGCCTGCAGCCCTCACGTGATGCTGAGGGGGTGGCCAGCTGCAGCTTTTGCCAGAGGACTGTTGGTTTCTCTGTGCACAGAAGCCTATCATGGCCCCGAGAGGTCAAGCAACTTGCCCGGAGTCAAGCAGCTAGAAAGGGACAATCCAGGAGTGAAAACTGGCTCTGGCCACTGCAAAGCTCTTTCCATCACATCAGTGAGGGCCAGCGGGGTTGGGCGGAGAGGATATCAGACTTGCCAAGAGATCCTGAAGGAGGTGTCAAGAATGCTTGGTGGCATAGGGACAAGATCCAGAAACAAGCCCAAGAGGCTCTGAGAGTGGAGGCCAGGTAACCAGAAGGTGGTGGAAGTGGCAGGGAGAGGGTGGGCTCCAGCGTTGTGGGTGCGGGCTGCAGGCAGGCCCCTGTTCCTAGAAGAGGCTCTGAGCCCCAGGTCAGGGTGGTCACAGGGATGAGGGAGACTTGTCCAGGATCAACAGGGCCCTGTCCCCGCTCCCTAGGTGACAAATTAGCATGCCTCATCCCAGGAACTCTGATGAGCTCATCAGGTGATGAATCATGGTGGAGCTGGGACAGGGACGCCTCCGGAATCCCCGCTCCAGGCTCCCTGGAGGCTGGCCCTCGGCTTTGCAATATGGTCTTCCTGCTGAGTGCACTTTGCCAGGTGGGGTGGGTGGCCTGGTGGTTTGTCTAGCATGGACCCCACAGGCCACTGGATTCCTCTGAAGTGGGAAGTACACAGGGGCCTTGGAACTGCTCTGTGGCTGGGCACGTGACCTGGTGTTTTCACTGAAAGGGGCTGACTTTAGAGCAGGGTTGGTGAACTACAGTATGTGGGTGAAACCCAGCCCCCTGCCTGTTTTTGTTCGATGAAACCAAGAATGCTCTCATAAACTGTAGGAGTTATGACGGAAAATAAACACAGAATATGCAACAGAAATCGAATGTGGCCCACAAAGCTCCAAATATTTGCTATCTGGCCCTTTACAGAAAAAAGTTTGCCAAGCTCTGGCTTTAAAAGTCAAACTCCAGCCTAGGAGTAAGCATGCAAAAAAAGACTCAACGTCATTAGCCCTCAGGAAAACGCAAGCTAAAACCATGAAGAGATACCACTTCGCCTTACGAGGATGGCTGTAATAGAAAAAGACAGACAATGCCAAGTGTTGGCAAAGGTGTGGAGAAACTGGGAATCTTGTGTGTTGCTGGTGGGAAGGTAAACTGGTAC